CTGCTGCCCACCTTGCTGCAAAACCACCTGCTGCAGGACCTGCTTCAAGAAAACCTGTGAGACCAGCTGCTGCAGCTCCCCATGCTGCCCACCCAGCTGCTGTGTGTCCAGCTGCTGCCAGCCCAGCTGCTGTGAGTCCAGTGGCTCTGACCAAACCAGCTCTGGGTCTAACTGCTGCCCACCCTGCTGGCAGCCCAGCTCCTGCAGAACCACCTGCCGCACGACCACCTGCTGGAAGCCCACCTTTGTGACCAGCTACTGCAGCTCCCCTTGCTGCCCACCCAGCTGCTGTGGGCCCAGCTGCTGTCTGCCTTCTTGCTGCTGATCCATTCTCTAGAGAGCCCCATCGACACAAGGCACTGGCGTGGTATTCACCTCCTAGACTGGTGACAACAGCCGATGTGTTCTCACTGAAACTGCCGTGCTGTGTGACCGGCTACCGCACTTCCCCTTGCTGCTAGCCCAGCAGCTGTGAGTCTGCTATCTGCCCACTTGCTGTGAGCCGCCTGCTCTGACCTGTGCACTGCACCAGGACCTGCTACCACCCCGTGTGTGTCTGCCTGTGCAGCAGCCTCCCCAACAGCTAAGGCTCCAGCTGCTGCCAACCTGGCTGCTGTGGACTCTGACGTCTGTCACATTCCACCTCCCCATCAGCTACCTCAGGGCTGAGACCAACCACTCTCCAGCCTTTGACATCAGCAACTCCTGCCTGTCTTCTCGCACAGGGTCTGGAGCGGGTGATTCCTGGGAGACATCCTGCTCCTTGACCCTTCCTCTCTGGCCTCTTCACCGTGTTCTGCCTTCTGAGCTCCCTCATCTGCTCTCGACCTTGACTCCTCTCCTCCTATGTAGAAAACCAATCCTCTTCCTTTCTCTCCAAGAACCTACGCAATACACTAACAAAGACTTACAGCTCCTTCCCAACTCATCCCACCTAGAGTGATGGTGTTCAGGGCTTCCCCGGTGCATCCTTGTCTCGGGACCTGTTCTCTGCCCGTGAGCGTGCTTTCCATTGTCACCCTGGTCATGAGGAGCCTCTCCTCTTTATTTCCAAATAAATCTGTATCACGGTGCATATTTTCCTGCGTCTCTTTTGTTGTATAGAACTTCCTTCATCAGAGCTTACTTTCACACCACCTTGCACTCCTGTCCACCCACGGTAGCCCCACAATGACCTCACAGGGGTTTTGAGCCAAGAATATCTGGGCCTGCGGGAGCTGTGCAGGTCCTTGTTCTGTGTCCTGGCCCAATGCCCAGCTGTTCTTCCTTCCCCTCACAGGTCCCACACTTTAGATCTTGATCCAAGTGAATGTAACTAAGCTCTGGAAAGATATGCCCCAGCCTGCCCTGGCTCAGGCTTCCCTGAGAGAGGACATCTTTACACTTGGATATGGTGGACACTTTCCTTTGCACAATTAAGAGAAAAATAAGGAACCAGGAAAACAGAGAGGTTTGCTGCAATTCCATTCTAAATACCCTACAGAGCTGGAAAAAACTATCCCAAAATTCACATGGAAACAGAAGAGACACAGAATAGCAAAAATAATCCTTAGCAACAAGATCAAGGTAAGAGGCCTTCTAATCCCAGGCTTCAAATTGTATTGCAAAGCTATAGTGATAAAAACAGCATGGTACTTGCATAAAAAACATGCTGACAAAAGAAACACAAGAAAGGATGCAAAAAAAAAAAAAACCCCAAGCACCTTCAGACAGATAATTTTTGACAAAAGAGTCTATGACCTACGCTGGAAGAGACAGTCTGCTTAAAAAAAGTCTGCGGGGAGAACTGGTTATCCACGTGCACAAGACAGAATCGACATCAATATCTTCCACACTGTACTAAGATAAAATCAAAATGGATCAAAGACTTAGGCATAAAAACAGACACAATTTCCAGGGGAAGAAAACTTGCTCACACTCGTGAGGACACAGAAATAGGGAAGGACTCCCTGAGCATAACACACTGCACAACATACAATACTGACAATCAGCAGATGGGCTTCTACAAAGTGAAAAGGCTTCCACACAGCAAAGGAAAAAAACCAAGACAGACAACCCACCAGATGCAAAAAGAAAAAGAAAAGAAAAAATGTGCCCATTATTTCTCAGACAGAGGACGAATACACGGCATATTTGAAGAACTCAAAAATTTGGATCCCCAACATGAAAACACTCAGACAGTATTGGGCAAAAGCAATGAACAGACTCCTCTCACAGCTGCAGGAAAGGGCCAATAACTACAAGGACAAATGTCAGCATCTTTGGTCAGCAAAGAAATGCAGATCACAAAAACAATAACTCAAAAAGCAACAAATGCTGGCACAATCATGAGGGAAAGGGTTCCTCCTGCATTGTACATGGGAATGTAAGGAAGTATGCAACTATGGAGAGCCATACGGAGGCTTCTCAAAAATAAAATGAAAAATGTCTATTACACCCATCTACACGCAATTTGGGTATCTTCCTAAAGAATTGAAATGACCATACTATGGGGATACATCCATGTTTACAACAGCAAGGTTCACAACATCCCACGGTCATGGGCAGAAAGAACAGGAGCAGCCCGCAGTGACTGGGGTCAGCTCAGCCGCAGCCAGGGCTCCTTCCACACTCACCCCAGGAGAACCGTCCTCACTGCTCCATCAGCACCTTCTCTGGATCCCTCTCCCTCCAGGGCGCACTCGGAGCTGTTTCGAACGTCGCTAACTCTGAAGGGCCTTTGCGTGGAGGCCTTTGCTGTGTACAAGCAGAGGCAACTGTTCATCATCGCACGACCCAGAGGTAGAGGACAGCTTGGGACAACACTAGTATATCCAGAGCATTCAAAAAGAAAACCAGGAGAACGACATCTCCAAGGGGCCTTGATGAGCTCTGACAGACTCCGAGGAGCCTCAGAGGCTCTGCACGTACAACGAGCCCCGTGTGTGCTCCACGGACCCAAGGAGACGCTGGGCTCTCACCTCTGGCTGACCTGAGGGTCTCTGGCTCACACAGGAAGTGAGGGCTCAGGCAGAGCTGCCTGCTGTCAGGCTGAGGGTCGGAGGCACAGGCACCAAGTGTGCAAAGGCCCTCAGCAGTGACAGGAGGATGTACAGTATTGATCTGAGGAGTTTCAGGAAATTTCTACCAGCGAAAAATTATTGTTATGACTATTATCATTATTTTTTTCACCAACCATGCATGCTAACTTAATAGAAAATCTTGAGAACTCACAAACAGCAACAGCAAACACACTATAAGGAATTAAGTGATCTCCAAAGGTGACACACTGTTATTTTAAAAGTCTAGATTTCATTTTTTAAAGGACATGGAAAGATGTGAGAAAATGTGCCCCCCACACACACACAGGGGAGAGAGAGCTTCAACTGAACACAGAATGCAGACTTCAAATCTTGTCCCTCGCTTGGCACTTTCTGCCTGGGGGAAAAACTAAATAGAATAAATGAAAGCTGCATTTGAAATGTAAGTGTGAAAAGTAAAATATAAAGTTTTAAAAGACAACAGAATATCTTCATAAGGTTTAGCTACATAAAGATTTGTTCAACAAGACTCTCAATGTACCATGAAGGAAATGGTAGGATTATCGCATTGCTCAAAGTGTCACATATTAAAGTAAGAACTGCAACTAAATAAAAAGACAACATGAAGAGAATAAGAGGAAAATGAACCAGGAGACATCGGATAAAATAACCTAATCACAGACACTTTTAAATACATTTCCTGTTTTCTGTTTGTTTGTTTTTGGGGTATTGGGGATTTAACTCGGGTCCTTGTGCTTGCAAAGCAGGCGACAAAACCACTGAGCTAAATCCCTGGACTCAGATATATTTTCTGCACTGGATGCAAAACCTTTTTTTTTTTTCTCTCTTTTACTGTGTATCTAAAATTATACATTGGCTTAGTACAATCGTTTTACTTTTTTTTTGTTATTTTCTTCTGGCTTTAAAGCTGTATATAGAATAATTAACTTTATAAAGTCTTATAAGAAATAAATGATTCTGCTGCTGTAAAAATAAAAGAGGTAGCAGGAGAGGGGAAAATAAGACAGGTGAAATGTGTTCTTTGCCTGCACCAATCCCCTACAGAGATTACTTGCTGCAAACAGGTACTGAGAACACTGAAAAAGAAACCCCAAGCAGGCACAGACACTGCAGAGATGGGCACACACCCACCGCCCACCTGCAGGTGACATCCAGAGATAACGACCGCTGTGTGTGCCCTGCCGGTCGTATCCCCAGCACTCATATCCAGAACCCACACAAGCAGTACAAACCGACAGCGGGAACAAACACACAAGACTGGAATAGGCGCCACCTGACAACAAAGGAAAAGGAGCAGCACGTGTCTGAGACACGGCAGTCATCAAACACATGCAAATGTAAGGCATGAGCACAGCCAGGAGGATTCAGAAGACTCCAAGGATGGGGTCACGAGGAGACACTTGTGTCAGTGACGTGGTGCTACGCTGTCTAATTCTCCCGGTGTGTGAGCAGTGGTTCCTCTTCCCTCAGACGCAACAATATTAGTGCTACATGTGTACCCACAGAGAAGGGCAAAATTAGGAAATCAGGGCAGGTAATTTCCCCAATTTGGGGAAATGTGTATATTTACAGATTAAAAACTACCTTGGATACCATTTTATATTTCTCATTTTCCTCCATTTACCGAGCCAAGATGCACACACTGTGGGACCTATCAGATTTACATCTAAGACACTTCTCGGATCTCATTTGAGGGCCTGAGGCAGCGGGAAATGCAGATGCACAGTGACCTGCGGATGGTTCCCGACACCCTGTGTGCAGCTTCTGCCTCTGCTTCCTGCCTGGTGCTGATGCACACGTGAAGATGATGATGAAACCACCCTTTCCCTGTGTGCCTGTGATAGCAATGGAGAACAACACGGGGCAGGTGGCCAGGGGTGGGGGGCTTGCTGCACCCCTAGGTCGGGCTTTTCTGAGGAATCTGCCTTGGGTGGACCCAAGTGGCCTTTCCACTCATGACAGAAGGAATCGTTCGGAATCCTCACTGTCTGGGGCTCTTCGAAACATATGAAGAGTGAAAGGACACACACCAGGAGGGACAACTGCTCTCACCTCCCCAGGCCAGCACGAAGGACCGCAGGACCACATGCTACGGTGTCAGCAGAAATTGTGCTGGCCATGACTCCGGCTTTCTGATTTCAGGAAAAGGGACCTAAATAGCATTCATAATTAACAAAAAGATGATAACGCTACTTTCACACGCATCAAAACACCCAGGACAACTACCTTATTGACAATTCATCAGATGCGAGTGACAACAACAACTACAAATACAAGGAAGTCCTGCTCATTGGTCCCAACAGGCAGAGGCCAGGGTATAAAAAGCCCATTTCTGATTTCAGGAAAAGGGACCTAAATAGCATTCATAATTAACAAAAAGATGATAACGCTACTTTCACACGCATCAAAACACCCAGGACAACTACCTTATTGACAATTCATCAGATGCGAGTGACAACAACAACTACAAATACAAGGAAGTCCTGCTCATTGGTCCCAACAGGCAGAGGCCAGGGTATAAAAAGCCCAGATGGGAAGAAACCTTCACACCTCAAGAAAACCTGTGAGACCAGCTGCTGCAGCTCCCCATGCTGCCCACCCAGCTGCTGTGTGTCCAGCTGCTGCCAGCCCAGCTGCTGTGAGTCCAGTGGCTCTGACCAAACCAGCTCTGGGTCTAACTGCTGCCCACCCTGCTGGCAGCCCAGCTCCTGCAGAACCACCTGCCGCACGACCACCTGCTGGAAGCCCACCTGTGTGACCAGCTGCTGCAGCTCCCCTTGCTGCCCACCCAGCTGCTGTGGGTCCAGCTACTCCGAGACCTCCAGCTGCTGATCCGTTCCCCAGAGGACTTCATTATCCCAAGGCACTGACTTGGTAGTCACTTCCTGGACTCTGCTCTCACTGAAACTGCCCACATGTGTGACCAGCTGCTGCAGCCCAGCCACTGTGTGTACTCACTCTAGTGAATCCTTGCAATTAGCTTAACGAAGTGCAGAATATTTCATCCTGTTTTTTTTTTCTTTCCTAGATTTTTTATCTCAGATCAAATGCCATCTTCATACGTGCTTGATTTGGAGCTACAGTTTCAGCTTTGACTCTTAGTTAAAATTCTCTCTCTCTCTTTCTTTACATAACTCACAAAAACATCTCCCTAAAACTTTCTCATAGGTTATGACTCAATAGTCATAACTGTGTTTTCTTTCTCCAGTACTATTTCTGGTGTCTCCTGCTTTACTATTCACTGCCCCACTGAATTATCTCCTCTCTAGTCGGAATCTTGCCTATGTGCATCTTAATAAATTCTGAGCCATTATTCACCTCACGTTCCGTTTCTTCCTATTGTACAGAAGCTCCTAAGATGGGGGTCTCAGTGTGCTTGCTTATGTGCACTGAATACCCAGATCATTCTTGGTGTCACCTTCTCTCCCTTCCTCATTCAGAAGCAGCTCGTGTAGCATTAATGGAGAGACTGAGATGCAGGCCAGGGTCTCGTCCGTCTGCTGTGGGATGCTTCCAATGACATCTCAAGACAGGCAGGGTCTTAGCCTTTGCTTTGCAGGCCCTGTTGGGCTGTGCTGCCATCCGTGCCCATCTGTGCCTCTTGGCAGACAGGGACGCACCAGGAGATGCAGTACTCTGTGAACCTCAACTCCGCGTTCCCCCTCTTCCACGATAATTATCCTTTACTACATAGCAATGCCTTTTCTTTCATCTCAATGACCGACACAAGGAGCTTGAAGTCCCCAGGTGACAGTTGTGACATTAGCTGACGTCTCCTTGGTAGAAACGTCCCTTACACAGGGACAAAGCCTTCAGGAGAGACGACATCCATGGCAATGGGGTGGCAGATGTCCATGTGTGTCAGTGGGCCTCGAGGTGAGAGGGGTCGTGCCTAGCCAGTGTCACAATACAGTTGCGACCGGCCTGACATATGGACAACTTGGTTGACACCAGAATTTTCGTTTTAACTTACTACCAATGTCTTCAGTCACAACCCAATGCTGGCCACTTGGGCTTCCAGATGCTCTCAGATTCAGATTTAGCCCTTAAAGAACCCTGGAAGGAGCATGACAGAGTCCCTTCCTGTGTGGCGTTCACTGAGAAATCCTGGGCCAGGGTCTCTCTAAGGACACTGAGATCCACCTGTGTGCAGGAGAGAGGCTTTGAAGGCCGTGTAGTGAGCCCGAGCTCTCACTGACCAACCTGAGTTACAACCAGCCCTCGGGAACAAACTGAGTTCATACATCAAGGGCCCACTGTAGCTAATACCTGGACACAACCTGACAAAGATGAAGGAATTCCACTATTCTGTGTCCTCTACGGCCATACCACCCTGAACATGCCCGATCTCGTACACTAGTCTATATCGTCATCCGTTAGGGCTTTGCAAGAACCAAGTGACCAAGTAAAACTTTCAGCCACACATCCTTTAATCGCCGGTCTGTGCTGGATTTTGCCGTCCTTTATGGATGTGCCATCGCTTCTCATTAATGCCTTGGTCTGGAGGTCAATGATTTATAAATGTTAAGTATGCCACAGTCTCTCTTTGTTCATAGTTTCACTTCTCATGGCTTTAGCTACCCAGATTCACCCACAGCCTAACAACATTAAGAGACACACTGTATCCAAATACATGTGATCGCACTACATCGTTTAATTGTTCCAGTCTATTATTAGTTATTGCTAATCCCTTACTATGTCTAATTTATAAGTTAAACTGCACCATGGGTGTGTGTTTACAGAAAAAAATATACACTACTGTACAAGGCTCAGCGGTATCCACAATTTCAGGCATCTGTTAGAGGTCTAGAAGCACAGCTCCCAAAGATAAGGCAATCAAAAGCAGCAAAATCTCAGAAAAGAAAACATTTTCTGCTAAAAATGGGGGGGGTGGTTAATGAATCAGACTGATTTCTGTGGTATCCCCAAAATACAGGACCTGCGGGCTCCTGAAGATGGTACCTGCTGACCAATGCAAGGGAGAAAAAAGACACTCCCAGATTAACCTGGGAGTAGGCATAAAATGTGACATGGATGTGGGGAAAAGAAAGAAATGTTTAGAAAAGAGGATGACACGGTGTGTGTGAGCAGATGGTCAGGAGGCATCGTAAACATGTTATACGTGTTTCCCCATCTGGGGAGCACAGTTAGTGAGCGGAACAAGAGGCACAGTATCTCCCAGATGACCATAACCCACACATCCGGGCCTGTTGTCTGTTCTCCCACAGCAAGGAGATGAGGTGAACAGATGCGCCAACTCCAGAGGAGCCGCAGACAGGCCCTGGATGGGGCAAACTAGGAAACTGGCACAGATGGAAGTAACAAGGACCCCTAGGGAGGTCCAGATCGTTCATGCAAAATGCCATTGGAGCACTTTCAGAATAGACGGAGGAGCCACTCTGAACTCAGTACTCACTGTGAAGAGCTGGTGGGCAAGGTCAGTGACCACGGCCTCAGGAAGGAGCGACCGTGGCGAAATCTGTGGAACCAACAGGGGACGCACATGGAGTAGAAGCCAGGAGGTGAGGAAACAGGTGCCAGCGAGGGGCACAAAATATGTGACTGCAGCAAAAGATAGCAGCACACAAGGTGTCTAATGGGCGGGGCGTGTGGTTCTCAGCCACTCAGCGACCGTGGCAGGGATCCATGAGGAAAGGCGTGGCCTATGGGGGGTGGAGACCCCAGCAGAGAATCAGCTACTCTGGAGATCGGAAGTCACACTGCTGTTGGTGACTGAGCATCGGCTAAGCAAATGCCTGACGGATGCTGGGAGAGGGTAGGGTGGATCTGCACCCTCTGTGAGCTCTAACGGGAAACTCGAAAGCTTCCTTTTCTACTGAGTTCTATGAGATCTGCGAACACCGCTGCCCACTCAGGCTGATGGATCGATTGATATTGCAGCCGTCACTTCTGGAAGGTCCACAAGCATTCAAAACAATATCATTTTTAAAGAAAAATATAGGGTGGCATTGTCCCTGTGCATTCACCCAGGACTGAAAGGAAATTGTCTTCCAAAGGCATCCAAGTTGGTTGGTTAGATTTGTACAAATCTACCAGGCTCTGAAACTGATTCTTGCAAAGGCAGACAGCTGATCTTATTTACATGGAAAAGGATGGGCCTCCTCTTTTAGAGGATGACAGTGTATGCTGTGGGGAAACTGAAATTTTCACCTAACAATAATATGTAGAAAACTAGAAGTGATTAATAAGGAGCTAATTTATCAACTTAATGAAGCCACATTCCAGCCCAAAGTGCATGTGAATAACTTTTGATCTTAGAAATCATAAAATATTATGGTGTCTAAACATTTTCTTGTGATGTCTTTCTACAGATATTTCTTATATATCTACACAAGATAATGTGCTAATAATGTATATATAAATAACCAGGTTTGCCTCAGTTAAAGCAGACAGTCTTTTGTCTCCACTCTGCCTAGAGTGTCTTTCCTTTTCAATCTTCACTCTCTCCTTCAGATACTGTTCGACTAGTGGGGGCTGGTCCCCCACAAGTGGCACCCGAACAGGGACCTGAATACGAGAGGCACAGTGAAGGACACCGCTGGATAAAGAAAAAAAAGGAGATCTCAACAAAAAGGCCTTCAAAAGGACAAAAGAGGAGCGGTGAGTTTTCTTTAAAAAATAAAATAAATAAATAAATAAATAAATAAAAAATGGGAATAGGAAATAGCCATATGTTATTTATTCATATGTTAAAAAACCTTTTAAAGGCAAGAGATATAAAAGTTAAACAACAGCTTATAAAATTTTTTAAACATGTGAAGGATATTTGCCCATGGTTCCCTGAAGAAGGATCCATAAATGTGGAAACATGGAATAAAATAGGGTGCTATTTAAAAGAATATTATTTAAAAGAAGGGAAAAAGGTGATTCCCACTGAGATAGCTAGTTTTTGGTCGCTTATTAAAAAAAGTTTAAATCCAAAATCTATGCTTACAAAAGAGGAAAAAAATTTTTAAAAACCTAAAAAATTACCAGAAAAGGAAAAAGGTATAACTTCTTCAGTTACCTATGATATTGAAAAATTAGGAAAAAAATTTAAAAAACAAATTTTAGAAGAAATAATTCAAGAATATCCTAGACATTCTTGAAATCCATTTATTACTATGACTAAAAAATCTGTGGAACACAATAAAAATAAAACTCAAGCTAAGCCTACTCCAAAAAAATTAGAATTTGCTACTTCACCTGGGATGGAGCCATCTGACCTTCAAGGACTTTTTCAACCAAAATCCTATAATGGTTGGCGTCCCCTTCATATAAATTCCCAATCTTTTCTTTCCCCATTACAGCAGAGCCTTAAACAAACTTCTATCAATGGGAAAGATTTGTCTGATTTTCTTCATTTATTTCCTATTTTTGAGGGAATAGATGGACAAGAAAATATTATACAAACTCATAATCCGGTTCCTTTTAAACAATTAAAAAAATTAAAAATGACATGTGCTCAATATAACCCTATTGCTCCATTCACTCAAACCTTGCTAGATTCTTTATCCACTAATGCTCTCCCTCCATTTAACTAAAAACAAATTGCTAAAGCTTGTCTTTCTGGGGGTGATTATTTATTATGGAAATCTGAATATACAAAACAATACCAGAAAATAACAAATCTTAATAGACAACAAGAAAAACTTAATGCAACTTATAAAATGCTAACAAGAGAAAAACCTTATGCTGAGGTTGCTCAACAATTAGATTTTCCCCCAGATATATATGCTCAGATTAATACTACTACTAAAAATGCTTAAAAAAAACTTCCTTCATCTAGACGAGCCTCAAAAAATCTTTCTAAAATTAGACAGGGACCTGAT